CTCCCCCGGCGCGGACCCGCCTGGGCCTCCGGTTCCGATGCTTGGTATCTTTTCGGTGTCGTTAGGCCACTGAGAGCCCGCGTCCGTGGGGAGCTGTTTGCTTCGGTAGAACACAAAGATCAGGACCCTTGACCTTGATGCTTTTCGGGTCTTTTTGAAACTTCGGAAAGAATTGAAACCCACAGAAGCCAGTCCGAAACACGCTCTCGAAAAGGACCAGGCTTCTTGACCTCTTAGAAAGTCATGATGGCGGGGTTGCTTTCTCCCATCTCAGAGGTGCCCTGGATAAAACCCCGGGCGCTCGTAGCGGGGGCCACTGTCGCTTTCCTTTGTGGGGCGGGGGTCTCAACCGACTAGTAGAAACATGTATGAACAATCTAGAAAGTTATATGGAGACAGAACTGTTTGATTCCAGTGGAGCCCTCCAGCCTGCCCTGTCGCAGGCCCTGGAGAGCTGCTGTCTGCTCCTCTCCCCTCCGAGCTGAGCGGACAGATAAGCAGCGCCCTGTTTTATAAACAGGACGACGCAGGCAGCCAGTGTTTGCACATGTCCTGAAAACAAGCTACACTTTTACGACAAACCCCGAAGGCTCCCAACGTTTCCCAGGGGAAAACAATTGTTTTTGAGGTTTCCCACCGATCCAAAGCTGCGAGTTGGTTCCCACTTGTCCCCCCGCCACCCCCCACCCCTGTGATGTTTTTAGGTTTTTTGAAACTAGTGTGATGGGAAAATAAATTTTCCCAGCTAGGAGGAAAGCGCGGGCCCTGCTGGGGTGCCTTCAAAGGGTTCAGGGATTTAGGGTGAATTGTCGGCCCTGAGGGTGCTACGCTCAAGTGCTCGGGCCTCCTCGTTTGGGGCGAGTCCTCATTTCCTTCGCCGGGGGACCCAGAACAGGAGCTGAAGGGTTTGGAGCGATGACGGCAGCCCGTGCAGGTGGAAACTCGAATTCTTCGCAAAGGGGTTAGAAGACACCCCCTGATTGTCGTTTTGGTCTCGTTTTTAGCTGTGGTTTCTGTGGATGGGCGGCCAGTGAGACTCCAGCTCTGTGACACCGCAGGACAGGTCAGTATCGCATGGCTCTCAGAGCCAGGGCAGGAAACAGCCTGCTAATGGGCTCCAGTAACCTCCCTCAGGAACTGGGTCACTCCGAGGCCCGGCGGAGCAGCCCCAGCTCTGCCGCGGGCCCCTCTCAGGGGCCGGGGTGGCGGCGATGGCTCCGCACTAATAAAACCGGGATTGGCCAGCTTGGCGTGGGGCAGGGCGGGGGGCCGGGGTCAAGAACGGTTCTTATCTCACAGGAGTTTCTGATCTTATTTACTTTCTGGTTTTTATTCAGAATGATCAATGATGCTTTGTAATCATTTTCTCAAAGTAAGTTGGTCATATCTTACGATCATTTTATTAAAGGCCAACAAGCCAAATGTTTAAGAAATTTCCTCAAGAAAAAAGGTGGCGTTCGTGAAAGCCGGTCGTGTTTCCTGTCCTAAGTGTAGTGTGGCTCCTTAGGGCCACCGCAGTCCCCTGAGGCAGAGGCCCTGTGGACAGAGCCGTCCCGAGCTGGAGGAGAAGAACTGGGACCCAGTGTTTGCGAATCATGAACACTGACTGTCGCGCGAGGAGCCAGGTACTTGGATGGTTGCTCCCCTTGGAGCAACCCCTGAAGAGCTCCGGGGGCTTGTCGCCCAGTCGCCCCCCGCGTGCCCGGCGGCATGATGCTCAAGTCACTGAAGTCCCCCTGTTCTCTGGAGACCCAGGGTGCCATCTCGAGTTTGCCAAATGACAGTTAATAAGCGCGTAGGGTTTTTTTTGTTTGTTTGGTTGTTTTTTTGTTTGTCTGTCTGTTTGTTTTTACCGGTACTGGAGAGCCAGCACTTGCTAGAGTTAGAGTCAGAGTTAGAGAGAGGCAGGTGGACGTGCTCGCTCACTTTTCCAGGTGCCGTCACGTGACCATTTGCTGTAAGAAGTTGGCTTCCGGTGTCCCCAGGCACCTCATCCGAGCCTCAGCATCCAGGTCACTTGCCTGCCCTGGGGTAGCTGATTCCCAGCTTCCTTCTTTAACCTCAGGGTGACACAAGGCCGGGCAGCCTTCGCGGTGGCCACTGTGCTGTGAGTGGTCAGCCAGCCTCTTCTGCCCTGTGCTGACCCGGCCACCACTGCACCCATCTCCCCTCTCCCGGGGCAGAAGAACCAAACCCTGCCGTGTTTGCTCACCTGGAGCGGGAAAGAGCAAGCAGAACACAGGGCCGCCCAGCACTCGGTCCTTCGAGAGCCTGGCCGGTGTTGAGAGTGAAAGCTTAGTTACTTTGTACAAAGCGAGGCTATTTCCCCACTTGGGTCACATTTTCTGGTCTTACGGACAGGCGGAGTGGCCCCTCAGGAAGGACGGATGTCCCTGCTCCTGGGAGAGGGGTGGCTTAGTGCCCGAGCGAAGTCAGAGCCGAGGGCGCAGGAAGCCAAGGGCAGGTCAGCAGGGCCCCTGCGGGGAGGAGCAGAAGCCGTGCTCGTCCCAGCCGCCGCCGGGCTCCGCTGTGCCGTGTCCCCTCTCCCGGGCTGCACAGCGCCTGGCACTTAGTGGGGCTTAGACGCGCCCCTTAATGACTGAGTGGGCGCTGGCCTGCCCCCCAGCATGCCGGCCGTGGTAGGGAAGGCAAACCAGCTGGTAGAAGCTGAGAAAGAAACCAGTAAAGTGACATACGGGGGAACGTGGCATCGGCGGCTCAAAGTGCAGGCCGGGTGAGTCTGGGAGGGAGACCTCAGAGCAGTTTTGCAGGAGGACGAGGGCTCTTGCCAGAAAAAAATTCGTAGAAACGATCCGGAACTATCAAGGAAGAGTTCGATTTTCCTCGTTATGGTCTGTTTAAAAGTCAGGGAAGGACGAAGACCATTTTACAAATATTTTCACGAGAAGTTTGCGTTTGGGAAGAAAAGGGTTTCGGTGCCACACTGGTGGCTTTGGCGTATTGGAAACGACACCTCTGGTCTCCAGCGGAGTTTCCACTGAGACTCACTCCACCTCCCGCCTGATGTGCCAGGCAGTGCCGTGTCCCTGACCTTGCGGCAATGAGGCTCCTATCTAAAGATGCGCAGGAAACCCGCTTCGAAGACTATTTATAAAAAGCACACGGCGGGTAAGAGGAAGTCGCCGAGAGTCAGTCGGTATCGGTCCTGACTGGGCAAAGCTGGTCGTGGCGGCCGTCACGTCTGTCCCCGTCTGCCCGCCTCGCTCCCGAGCTGAGAAGTGCCTTCCAAGGGGCTTGGTTTGCCCCCTGCCCTCGTCGCTGAGTGTCGGCCCAGCCCGTGGGGCCCCCTCCTCCAGGCAGACCTCCTGCGCCCTGGTGGAGGTACGATGACTCAGCGTCCCCGTGTGGCCTCCGCGGGTGCGGGCACAAGCCGTGTGACGCGGGCTGGAGAATGCAGGTGACAGGGAATCGCTTCTGTGCCGGGTCGTTCAGGAGGGTGGGCGCGTGGGTGACACAGTGAAGGGGCTGTGAACACTGGCTCCGGTCACACTCGGGTGGAAGCTGGTCGGCGACCGGGACCGAGGAGCCTTTGGCGCGAGAGAAAGTGCCACACGGCGCCACAAATGGAGCCGGAAGCTCCTCGGCCCCTCGGCCCATGAAGCGCCTGGAAGATCCTATCCCCAGAGAAGCAAGAAGCCAGGTTGCAGCTCGGCCAGCACCGCCGCCCAGCGGCCCGTCCCCGTGTGGCCTCCGCGGGTGCGGGCACAAGCCGTGTGACGCGGGCTGGAGAATGCAGGTGACAGGGAATCGCTTCTGTGCCGGGTCGTTCAGGAGGGTGGGCGCGTGGGTGACACAGTGAAGGGGCTGTGAACACTGGCTCCGGTCGCACTCAGGTGGAAGCTCCCACGGCCCTGCACCCCGCCCCGCCCCCCGCCCTGGCCAGGGAGCCAGGTCCCCAGGCCCCGTCACAGGCCTGGCCCCGCGCCTGCCCGTCCGCTGTTGGTGACGCGAGCCTGGCCTCCAGGGTACAGCCAGCCGCGGTGGCGCCCGCCACCAGCCAAGGGCGCTGCCCGGTCTCGGGTTGGAGCTGCCTCCTTCGTGGCCTCTGCGAACGCGACGTTTCACGGCAGACCTCAGGGCTGGCCCGGCCCCCGCTCAAGTCACTGTTTATTTCGGCCACAGCTGGCACTGAGAAACCTAAGGCCTTGGCGTTCGACTTTTGCTTAGCCGTCAGTGAGGGGTGGTGGCACTCGGACACGCCATGTTCACTCCTGAGCATGGCCACTGACCGACCTTAAAGCTGTTGGGTGCTTACTGCCCCCTCCCCTCCCCTCCCAGGCCAAGGCCTGGGGGCCCCGCGACGTGCGTGTAAATAGTGGTCTGCAGTAACCAGAGCGTGCCGAGTGAGCCGCGAGGGCCTGGGTGACATTTAACTTTTTCCTTCCACTGGGAGCTCAGCTGTCACGTTACCCCTGAGGATGGTTGGCGCCCACAGACTAGGAGTGAGGGGACGTGAGCTCTCACACAAGGGGGTTCGGTGGCAGCCGAGTGCGGGACTGTGGGGGACTCGGGGCCGTCTCTGTAGAAACACCCTGGTTTGGAGACACACGTTTCTACAAGGGGCAGACGGGTCCGCCTGTCCCTCGAGCCGCTGGCCCTGCTCGGTGCCTGGTGTCCAGCGAGGGTCTTTGTCCGTGGACGGCTGCGGCAGTGGCTGCGGTGGCCGGTCCATCGGTGCAGGTGGCTCCGACTCGTTCCAGCCAGTTCTCTGCACCTTCGCGTGGTGGCTGTGCCTTCTCTGCTCCTTCGTCCGCCCAGAGCCCGTGCGTGGAGACCTGTGGTCCCAGCAGCAACGGAGGAGGGGGGGAGAAGGGAGAGGAGGAGGGCGGAGGGCAATGAAGTGTGTGGGGCCAGAACGAGGATGTTCGAAGCAGCGTTGGAAGGGCCGCCGGGAGGCACAGGTTCTCTGGGTGGCCGAGGACAGTGGCCTCCCGGGTCTGCCCTGTGTCTGCCTGGCGTGGCTTTGTGTGCTGGGTGTGCCCTGGGCGCAGGGCGACGTCTGAGGGTGGCAGGGCTGCGTTCTCTAAGAGGGGCCTCTGCCAGCAGCTGGGCTCCCAGGCCCGGGCCGGGGCCTCGGGTCTGCACGGACGCTGTCAGCAGTGGCCGCGTGCCAGCGTCGGGCGACTCTGGCCTGAGGCTGAGGTCAGCTCCGTTTCGGAGACTCATCTGATCTGAGTCCTTTTCCCGTGCCGAGTACAACGAGGTCGCGAGCGCTGACGAAAACGCTGGGCAGACTGTGGGGCCGGGAGCGCCAGCCCCCTTGGTGACCGGCAGCGTCCCTCCTCGGGTGCCCACACTTCCCGCCACCGGTGGGCTCCAAGGCCCGCCAGAGCCTTTCAGGACAAGCATTAAGGTGGCAGCTGCTGGGGGGGGCGGGCGTGGATGTGACAGTAACTGGCTGCTTTGCCTGGTTGCAGGACGAGTTCGACCGACTCCGGCCTCTGTGCTACACCAACGCCGACGTCTTCCTGCTGTGCTTCAGCGTCGTCAGCCCCTCCTCGTTCCAGAACGTCGGCGAGAAGTGGGTGCCGGAGATCCGGTGCCACTGTCCCAGGGCCCCGATCATCCTGGTCGGGACCCAGTCGGATCTCCGGGAAGACGTCAAGGTGCTCATCGAGCTGGACAAGGGCAAGGAGAAGCCAGTGCCCGAAGAGGCGGCCCAGCTGTGCGCCCAGGAGGTCAAAGCCGCCTGCTACATCGAGTGCTCGGCCCTGACGCAGAAGAACCTCAAGGAGGTCTTCGACGCGGCCATCGTCACTGCCATGCAGGCCTCGGACGCCCGGCAGCAGCCCCAGGACGCTAAGCGCAGGACTCCGGACACGATGGAAGCCCTTCCCACGCCCTGGTGGCAGAAGTACTGCTGCTTCGTGTGACGCGCGAGGCCGGCGGGCGAGAAGCCGCGCTGGCCGGAGAGGCCGCCCCGCCTGGCGCCGAGTCCCGGGGCGGGTCCCCGCGCGGGTCTGCGTTTCCTGCTGTGCGTCCGCGTGCGGGGCTGAGACGCTCGGGTGACACGCTTTTGAAGTAAGTCGAGCATTTTTCATAACCTTGGAAACTTGGAGCTCTGGACCGCTGGATGGATCTGCATCGAACGGGAAAGAGACGCCTCGCGCCTGGGTGTCGGGAGCGACGCTCTGCCATGTTCCGTGTGCGGGAGGAGCTGGCCTGGTGGCTTCGGGCGCACAGGCCGGCCCTGGGGAGGACACACTTAGCTGTGCAACTCATGCTTTTTATTCTTCTTTTAAGGAGCAAAAATCAGGAAGAAGGAGAGACCTCTGCTTATAAAACCTCAAACTGGTCACCTCCGTCACGTCCTAATACCTGGTCGCACAGTGTTTAGAAACAACCCACGAATCCCCCCACTAACCCCGGGCGCTGTGCAGACCCAGCGGGCTTCGCGTTCTGGGGCCGTCACGTCGGCACCGTGCGAAGGTGCCGCGCGGGTCACGCGTGTGCCGGGCGGTGCTCCCGTTGTCCCCACGCAGCGGCTCGTGCTCCGACCAGGGGACGTCGGCCATCAGGGCCCATGGCCCGCGGGCGGAGCACTAGGCGGCCCGTGCGAGCGGCTCTCGAACTCCCGCGGACGGTGTCCCCTCTGCAGGGACACAAGCAGTGTTAAGTCAGCCCAAACATGCTTCTCGTACACACGCGCGCACACGCTCACACACACACACTGCACACCCACGCACACCCAGACACGTGCACACACCCGCACATGCACACTCACACCCACAGACACACACACACCCACGCACATGCTCACGCACACACATGCTCGCACACGCACATACACATGCATAGACACGCTCACACACACTCACACTCGTGCACACGCTCGCACACGCACATTCAGACTTTTGAACCGTGAATGGGAGAAAACGTGGCCACAAAACCAGGTGTGAGGGACGCTCGGCTCCCTCTTTTCGTCCACACTTTTCCTGAACAGATTTCTTTTTGATTATACCCCAGATATGATTTTAACTGTATCTTAGCACATTTTTGAGACCATCTTACAACAACACGTGAGCGGCTCTTAAAACCGGTGTTACAATCTGTTAAAACCACCAGTTAACGTCTCTAGGGCCTGAGCAGGCCGCCTGTCACAGGGCCGTGGGCGTCCACTGTGGCCACGAGTCCCGGGCGTGTGCGGGACGCAGCTCCCTTGCTCAGCCACGTCTTTGCTCTTAGGCAGTTAGAAAACCAGGTGTCAGTGAGACATCCCTGTGTTTCAAGGTGGCGGTTTTTGAGCTTAATCTTTTGGAGAATAAAAGAGTCACATCAGAGAGTGGCCGTTCTCTGTGACGGACGTGCTTCAGAGATGGCAGGGTCCAGCTTGCAGTGGATGGAGCAGATTCACCAAACCACGCGATGGAAAACCGCAGAGCCGGGAGGGAGACGCTCATCCCTCTGTGGGTCCCGTGCTGTCTTTTTTTGTTTAAAAAAGGCCAGTTTGTGTTTTCCCATAGAAAAAGTAAAAGACTAGATTATACTTCAGGCTAGGGGCTGCTTTTATTTCTGTTAGTAAATAAAATCAACCAATTTTGTCTAAAAACTAAAACACGTCGACTGTTTACTATCTATTTTTCAATCCACTGAAACTGACATCGGTCACCACTTCCTGAAGCATCTAGTTATGACCCGAGTGAGCGAAGTGACTTCGTTTGTGGGAACGTCCGGCCAGACCCACTGGGGTGCTCCGGGCTTGCGTGCCCCTGTGGGACGTCTGCCCAGCTGGTCTCCCCACCTGCTCTCCCAACGTGAGTCCCCGCATCTGGCCTTTTATATTTAAGCAGATGTTGGGAGGACGATGCAAATTAATTTTTAAGCTAGAATACAGAGCCTGAGGGGAGCGTCATGCGTGCGGCCGCGGGCGGGTGGCTGTGGTTCCCCCGGGAGGGGCGACGGGCCGCGGGGAGCCTTAGGGAGGAGCTTTGCTGCAGCTGTTTATTCGTAGCCCAGCTCGCCTCAGCGCCTGGGTGCTGGGGACGTGACATCTAAGTGTGACAGCAGGGCGCCCCCACGTCCCACAGAGCTCGGAAGGAGTGCGCGTCCTGCCGGTTTATTTCTTTGTCAAAATAGAGATTTGGGCAGAAAAGTTCTCACGTATGTGCTCGAGTGCCGCTGTCGGAGAGACTCTGCTGAGCTGCGCTTTAGAAAATGCCGGTCGCCCCGGCCCCTCCGGCACGGGCTGGCCGGAGCTTGAGCACAGCCCGCTCCCGTGTGGGAGCCTTTTGTGATGTCCCCGTGCTCGAAAGCCTCGAGGGAAGCCCCTGCCACCCCGAGCCGGGCCGTCCCCCAGCCTCCTCGCGGGGGTGCGCCTTCCTGCTTCCACGTGTGAGCGACGGTGACACTGTCCTTGCAAACGCGGTGGAAGAGGTGGCATAAAATAAGTCCTGGCCCGCGGTGTGACCGCGCGTGCCTTTTCCACGAAGGACGAAGGACGTGCCCCGAGGCCTCGGGGATGCAGCTTGTCCGCTGTGGGGTTTCAAGAATTCCGGGCCTGGCAGAAGGGCTGTGACTCTGGTCCGTCACGGGTGGGCTGCTGTCCCCGCCCGCTGTTCTCCAGCGAAGGGGCTCAGGCGTGGGGTGTGGCGGGATGGGAGGTCTCTAACCTGGGCCCCAGTCTCCTTGCCGGTGACCAGCACGGCCTTGGAGCCGGGTGCTTTGTCCCCAGTGAGAACACACGCGTGTGCGCGGGGCGTGCATCCGAGCTCTGGCGGCCGAGGGTGGCGTAGAGGTCTGGGCGCCCTGAGCCAGACAGCTGCACCGTGACGACCAGCAGGGTGCAGGGCGCCTGTCTCCAGGGCATCATGTGCCGAGTGCGCATCTCGGGTTCTGTGGTCAGTCTTGTCATCGTGTTGCCCGGACATGCCCCTCACCAGGGGCTCCAGGGAATGTGGCCCTCGGGGCAGGACTGTCCCAAGCCCCAGATGCCGCCCTGTTTCCACCCTCTGGCCTCAAGCGGGTGACGTCAGGGCCGACTGCTCCTGGCATCTCGTCAGGACAGGCCTGTCCACTCTGTCCCCAGGCGCCTCTGCGGCCAGGTCCCTGGCATGTCCTGCTCCGGAGGCTGCAGTACCCCTGGGGTCCCCTGTATGTGGAGTTGAGGTGGCGGGCCTGCGGGAAGCCAGGACGTCTGCTGGACTTCGCTGCTCCCAGCCAGGGCCTGGCACCTCTGCTCGGTGTTCATAGGGACAGAGGAGTTGGCAGCGAGGTAGCGGCATGCAGAGTCGCGGGCAGGGCCCTGAAACGCCCCGTGAGTGTCCCGGCCAAGGGCGCAGCACACTTAGTGGCAAATAAGAACTGCCATGACAGGTTGACAGAGAGGCCGTGGGAGGAAAGAGAAGGCTTTGTACAGTCACCCTCATCCGGGGACACGTTCCAAGGCCCCCAGTGGAAGCCTGGAACTGCAGGTCCTACCAAGGCCTGTCCTACAAACACCCCTCGGTGACGTTAATTTGTAATTTAGGCACAGTAAGCGATTAACAATAACCGATAATAAAATAGAACAATCGTGATAATGTACCCCAGCAGAAGTCGTGTGAGTGTGGCCTCTCTGTCTCTCAGAATATCTCCCTGCCCTGCACGGCCAGCGTGGAGACACTGGACAAAGGGCGGATTCATGTCCCAGCCGGACGGAGCGAGATGCCATCGCGCTACTCGGAACGGCCTGCAATTCGAAACTTACAAATCGTTTATCTCGGGAATTTTCCATTTACTCTTTTCTGGCTGAAATTGACCGAGGGTAACTGAAACCGCAGAAAACGAAACCTCAGATAAGGGTTGGCTGCTGTGTTTTAGCGCCCTTGGTGACGTTTTATTCTGCCGTTTCATTTGGCTCCGGGGCAATTAATGAAGCCCGTCCAGTCCCAAGGCCCAGCGCACTGGCCAGGTCCGCCCGGCCGGGAGCAACCGAGACCCTCAGCGCCTCTGACCAGCCGCCCCCCAGCTTCTCTCTCATAATCCGTCCGTGGGGCAGGGAGAGGGCTTTTAGGAAGGTACATGGGGAGAGAAAGCCTCATGACAAGTGACAAGTATTCCCAGCCCGAGGGGGGTTGACATGAGGAAAAACCGGTTGGGGATTAATGTGAGCCAGCAAACCCACCGGGGGACACTTGTGAGTCACAGAAAAACAGACATGGGAGAACAGCGATCCTCAGAGGCAAAGTCAGCTAGCCGGGCAGTCGGCATCGTCGCTTTTAGAAAGTCAAGTGCAGGTGGAATGTCCCCCTGGAACACGGGCATTACGTAGGCTGCATGGGCTCGCTCGAGGCCGCGAGCAGCGCGGGGTGCGGGGGGCACGGCGACCTCTGCGGGTGCCGCAGGCCCAGACACCGCCCCGCAGACGGCCCGGGCCGTTCTGGGCGAACTGGGAGTGACGTCGTACGGAGACCTCAGCCACTGCTGGGCCCGACGCAGCTGTGTCGCACCAGGGACCAGGGACCCTTTTCTCTGTCTTTACTACCACAGGAGCGGGGCTCTGGGCCCTGGCGGGGGCCCCCGCATCAGGCGGATGGCGAGGGGAGGCCGTGCGCACG